GATGAGGGAAGCCATCTGACTTCAAACTCAAGGGGCTTTTGTGGTTGGTTGTTGTTTTTTTGTTTGTTTGTTTGTTTTTTTCAGACCAAGTCTTACTATACATCTAAGGATGATCCCCTGCCTCAGCCTCCTGAGTAGTAGTATTACAGGAGTGTGCCATCATACCCAGCCAAAATTCATTTTTATTCTAGAAGCAAGAGAGGTTTGATTAGAAATAAAACCATATAACTCCAAAATTGGTATAAATTTGAGCGATTTTTTTTCTTATTTTTGAGATAGAGTCTCACTTTGTAGCCCTGGCGGACCTAAAACTTGCTATAAAGATCAGACAGGCCTGGAACTCACAGAGATCCGCCTGGCTCTGCCTCTCAAGTGCTGGGATTAAAGGCGTGGGCCACCACACCCAGCAAGCTTGTTTTGTTTTTCCTTCCTCTGCTATCTGTCAGTCTCTTGTTGGTGAAACAGGGATTATAACAGTACCTACCACAGCCTTATCCTGGAGATCAGAGATGATGCTCAACAAGGTGGTTGGCCATGGAGCCTGCAACTTAGTAAAGATTCAGTACAGGGTGTGTGTTTACAGTATCAGTAGTACTAATATGACCCTGCTCTGTGATCTCTCTTTATGAGCCCAAGAACATGCCCAGCCCTTGTGCGTCTCCACATATCCACATTTCTTGTCAAAGACTAAGAAGAAACCATTTGTGTCTTCTTCAAGTTAAGGAAAGAGACAGAGGAGTTATTAGAGAGGAAGGGGAAGAATCCTAGGCTGTGAAGATCAGACTGTTGGGCATAGGGATGGCCTTCTGCTCCAAAGCAGAACACAGACACTCTGAGTCAACAGACACCCATCTCCTCCAGGGATTGTACACACTCTTAGCCTTGCTGGGCTTGAGATAATCTTGGGGGCTAGACCTACCTTCAGAATTCAGGCTTCCTCCTACAAGTGGTGACCACTGAGACAGACACCTGTGGCTGTAGCTGTGACAAGGTGAGGGCAAGGAGATGGAAATGAGCTCTGTACCCACGTTCATCCTGGTCCTGATACTGTCTTCATGGACATAAGAACCACCCAGCCCCTGTCACCTGCCTCCCTACCTAGCTCTTCCATCTAGTAGCTTCTGCGACATCTTTAATCTGAACCCTCTAGGAGGAAAGGAGAAAGGAATTGAGACACAGAGTAGTAGTCAAGGGTGAAAATGGAGACTAGAAGAGCTACAGGTGAGTCTTTAGGAACCGCTACCAGGATGTGGAGATGTCCAGAGTGCCACTTCCTCATCTAAGCATCCATAGGTCACCAAGATGGTCTCAGACTGCTGCAAAGCAATCAAGTGTTTCAAAAAGCCAGTTACCATGTGAGCGAGATAAAGGTGGGCACCGGGCCCTTCATGCTTCCATGCTGTCTCCACAGGGACCCTGACGATGTAAGTCCTCAGCCAAACTGTGTCGGAAAGGTAAGGGGGGCTTGGGATCTCGCTCTGGTCATTGAAAGGCTCCCCCTCCTTCTTCCTTTCTTCCTTCTTTCTCTTTCCCTTTCTAAAGGAATGTTTCAAGCCAGATGTAAGATACAGGCCTCTCTGCTTCCCCATCCGAACCCCCCTCCTTCCCTTCCCCAACACTGCAGAGATAAAAAAGATCCAAAAGAAAGATTTTTCTTTAACAGGAAAACAGGGTGGGGGTGGGGATGGAGAGAGCAGCATCTTGAAATGATAGGAATCTGCAGCCCGAGCTGGCTTGCCCCTCAGCCAGCTACCCCTCACCCTTCCAGCCCAGATTCCTAGTCAAGAGGAGAAAAGCCACAGGGTGCAAGAGAAGAGACCTCATGTTGAGGGAGGTGGGGTGGGGGGTGGAGGTGGGGGTGCTTGCTTCAGGGAAGGGGCAGAGCAGGGGGGAAACGGGGTGCTGCATGTTTAGAGGGGCACTAGCTCAGCCCCAGAAGCCAGTTTGACTGGAAGGGTGAGGAGAAAAGACAGGGGACTGAAACTTTTTGCAGTTCAAGTCTACCCTCTTACTTTGCCCTTTCTGGAAGGAGGATGCCATTGCAGGGTTGGAGGAGCCCTGGGGCTGGGTAGGGGGTCTACCAGGGACACAGCAGGGGGGCAGCGGCTCCCGGACACCCTTTGCCGCATCTGCCTCTTGGAAGTGTCAGAAGACTAAGGCCTACAAGAGATCTGAAGAGAGGGTCTCAAAAGTCTTGAGACTCTCTGGAAGCTGCTGGGGCTTGTAGGGGAGAGGTGGAAGGTTAGGTCATCTGGGGCAGGAAAGCAAAAAGGGACATCAGTGTTCAAAATTACACCCTCAAAGCCGAGGCTGATGACAAATGCCTGGGTTATGCAACCCCAAGTGTTTAATTTGTTTCAATTGTGGGAATTAAGGGGAAGGGAGTAGTTTGTGCCTCAATTTCACTTCTAAGCCTTGCTGTGGATACTACTACCTCATTGTGTGGCCTAGACCAGCAGAGGAATGTGGGTCCCAGCCAGCTGCCCCCTACTCCACGTCCCCTGGGGAGACCTTTGGTGGTGGAAGGCTTTTTGAAGGCCACAACTGTGGACTGCGCGGAACAGCCACTGCAGGATGTGGAGAGGCGACTGGTTCCTCGAACCAACCCCGAGAGAGAATCGGATAGTAGCATCTGCGCGGCGGGCTTGAGTTAGAAACACAGGGGGCACAGTGTAGCAGTCTAGGGGACTTCAGCCACCAGCTACCTGCTCCCGATGCTCAGCGCTCTGCTCTTGTCTCCAGCGCCTCATTCTCTCCAACCCCTCACCAGCCACCGGAGACTTCTGGGACTGTCCCGCCCCGATCATCTCCAGTACCACCCAGGCAACAGCCTGGTGCTTGGGCAGCCGGTGCCTGGAGCAGTACACTCGTTCCCTGCGCCTAACCACCCTGGGAGCCACACTCACCACCAAGATGTGTCTACACGGGCCGGCAGAGTCAGCAGCAGCAGCAGCAACAGGCAGGCAAGACCCAGGCGGGCAGATGCCGGGGACACGTCGGGGGCCGCGGGTCTGGGTGCGGGGACCAGGATGCGGGCACGCCGAGGGGCGAGCTGCGCGGCTTCCTCCGCACCCCGCGGCCCCAGCATAGCTCCGCGCAGACTCCCGCCGCGCAGCCCGCAGGGCCGTGGACGGGCACCGTCTGGGCTTCCTCAGGCGTCTCCTAGCTCGCCCCTCAGGGTGGCCATGGGGACTGTGGGCGACTGGGGACCGCGGGGCACGTGGAGTCCGGCAGCCGGCCGGGCGCAGAGTTCCCAAGAACTCCCGAGCTGCAGGGCCAGGAGACCGACGAGAGCTGAGCCGGGGTGTAGGCGGCTCGGGTGCGGTGTCAGCGGCTCCAGGGCGCGGAGTGCGGCGGGGGCCAGAGAGCGCGGACAGCCCCTGCGGCCGCAGCTCTCATTGGACGGGGCGGGGCGGGGCCGGGGCCACGCGCGGCCTTCAGCGGGGCTCCGCCCGCGCCAGCCGGGGTGCTCGGCGGCGCCCTAGGTGTGGCGGCCGCCTCCTCCGCTCGGCTCGACCGAGCGCCACCGCGCCGCGCCCTCACCTGCTCGGGCCACCCGCGACGGGGCTCTTCTCCGTTTGCAGCCCCCTGTCTCTACCGACGCCACGCCACGCCACCGGGTCCTAGCGCCCTTCACTCAGCAACGCGGACCGCTGGCTTTGGTGGCAAGGCGCACCCAGTGTGCGGGGGGTGGGGTGGCGTGGGGGGTACGAACACCCACCCACCCCCGCGCGCGCGTCGCCCCCTTAACCTACGGTGAAACAGGAGCTAAGCGCAGAAGATGCTTTTTTCCCTCCGGTCCTTCTATCCTTGCGCTTCTGGGAAATTGGTAGACACCCGGCCAGCAGGAGTTGCCGGACAGACAGTGGGACGCCCTTGGCCACGCTGCCTTCTGGGGCGCCGTGGACAGTGGGCCTCGGGCGGGAGACTCTCTCATCAAGGGCTCATCGCCCCGGCTTCTCCTGCCCACTACACCAACACCATCCTTGCGTCCCGCACGTCGTTGAGACCCAGCGCCTATCCACCTAGGTGCTTTCCCCAGGTCAGGATCTTTCAGCTGCCCAAGAGACACACCTGCCGGCGGCGGGATGCAGCGGCCGGTGCCCTGACAGACGGACGGACGGCCGGGGCTCGGCCGAGCTCGGGCTCTCCCAGTATCTCCGTCCCCCACCCCCTCGGGCGGAGCTGCGACTAGGAAAGAATCAGAAACAGCTGGGCGGCTTTCCCGCACCAGAGGCCGGGGTGGGGGTCCTGCGGAGAGAGTGGAAGCCCTGGTGCCTGGTCCCCCCCCCCTTTCCACCCTTCCTCCTCTCCACTGCTCGCTGGTCCTCCCTCAGTCCCGAAGAGCCCTGGGGTGGGTGTGGGAAATTGGGAAGCAGTGGAGAGGTGTTGTGGGCTGAAAGCGACTTCTTGCTCCCTTTCTATTACGCTCCCCCCGCCCCTACCTCACAACGGGCTCGCACTCCCCTGGGTGGGAAGAAGAAGAAGCCCCGTGGGGCAGAAAACATAAAAATTCTTCAAAGCCCGGAGTCTTTCAACCGAAGACTTCCTCTGGGGTCTGGCCTAACGCCTTCAGCCTCAGTTTCTCCTGCCTCGCCTTTCCCCGTTTCCAGGTGTCTCTCATGCCTCTCCCCATGATTTTATCTAAACTATAAAGTTCTGATGTAAACATCATGCTGGTGACTGCCCACCCACCTTAACCCCAAACTCACTGTCAGGCCTTGTTTGATTGGGGGTGTTAGATGCCTGAGTGTGAAGGACAGCGCACAGCTGGCTTCTCAGAGACGGAGGAGAGAGAAGTTCAGAGGGCATTTGCCCTCTCTCCCCACAACTCAGTCCTTTGCCTGCATTTTTTGAGGTAAGAGGCCAAGTATATGCAACAATTCCACAAATACCATTTTCTTTCATCTGCCAGGGTTGGGCTAGGCTTGGAGAACGCACATGAACGCGCGCGCGCGCACATACGCACATACACACACACACACACACACACACACACACACACACACGAATACACACATCAAAAAAGCATTTCTGCCTTCATGGAGCTTACATTTTATTGACCAAGATAGATAATAAACACTAGAAATGAGACATATGGAATGTTAAAGAGGTAAGTGCAGAGGCAGGGGAACTAGGGCCTCGTCGTAATGATAGTGAAGAGAGGAAGTGAAGAGTCCGTGGACACCCCCAGACAGGAGTGGGCTGGTGTACCGGGGCCATCAAAGGGGTCCGCCAAATGGAGCCGAGTGCCCTGGGGAGGAAGAGCAGAGCTCAGATAAGTGAATGGAGGTGATCTAAGGTGGGGAGGAGAGAAGTACCATCACCATTGGGCTGTGTGGGTGTAGGTGGGGCTGGGCTGCCTTTGGGAAGGGGAAAGGGTGAATTCGGAGAGCATGTCGAGCCAGCAGCTGGCCGTGTCCTGTCCCTCCCCTTCTCTCAGCCCTGTAGTCTTGGGTAGGCTCCCGTTAGCCTGCTGTGTCTTTAGTACTGAAGGACTCTAAGGCCAGTTTCCCTGTGAGGGGCAGGTAAGGGGCTGTGGGTCTAGGCTCTTTCCTGGCTGGAGCCCTTTCCTTGGACCACGCTTTACCTCCTCCCAGCCCAGTTCCACTCCTTTGCAGGGCCTAAGTCTTCCAGCTTGGATGCCTCTCCCAGACTCCCCTGTGTGTTTAGAGCTGGGTGTGACTCTGGTCCTGTGTTTATTTGTACGCATGAGCCCGGGGTTGTGGGATAGGGGATGATCACATCTAACTTTGGGTGGACTCACCCACATGGGCCCCAGATTCACTTCTGAGGCCCCTTCTTTGGCTTCAGCTATCATCGGAGCTGAGTGGGACCAAGTCTTGGCACGGACACAGATGCTCAGCTATTAAAGTATATTTCTGATATGAGCCCCCACCCCCAAAACATCAGCAGCTCCAAGGAGAAGGGAGGGGACCGAGGAGACCAGACTCCTCACAGCTTACAGGCCGCCCTCTGTTCTGGAGTAGGAAAGCCAGGATGGAAGCTTGTCCCCTCCACTCCTTCCTCCTTCTCCCCCTCTGCCAGACTCAGTCCCCAGCTCCCCAGGCTGCGGGAGCCAGCTGACGGCAAGAGCACTCAACCACTTAACTAGAGAACAGATACGGAGCCAGAGAAGAGGTTTTCTGGGATCTGCCACTTCGGAGCTTCAAATCTCAAAATAAACTTCCAGCCTCAAGGTCCTAGACACTAGTGGAGAGCTCAGCTCCTCACGCAAGGGCCTGTTACAGGCTTCTAGAAAGAAGGTCAAGGCTGGAGGCTGAGCCTTGCTCCTCTGGCTTACCCCCCACCCCCACCCCTGGGAGCCCCCAGGAGAAGTCTCTGATTTGAGAGCCAGACACCAGTCTGGGGGGCCCTGCATGGTGTCAAGTCAAACTTGGTAGGTACTTGCTCTGTGCCTACCCCTGATGAGGGCATCCTAAAGTATACAGAAGGAGGAGAAGGCCTTAGGTGGTATCCTAGCTCTGTTTGGGTTCAAGGCTGTATGCTGCAGATATAATGAGCAATAGTGCTAGCAGAGACCCAAGGAATTCCAGGCTGCCCCCCTCCCACCCCGTCCCTTAGCACACACAATGCCAAATTCCTTGGGACCTTCTGCAGACAGCTTCCAAGTCACCTCTACCCAGCAGTGGCACTCTAGCCTCTGGGCCTTTTCAAAACGAGTACCCCAAGAGGAGATTTCACTCTCAGATTTGATAGCTCACTTCACGCTCTGCTCTGATCTCTACTGTAAGGCCACTCAGGGTTAAGACTCCCCCTTTACTTTGTGCTCAGCTTTGTGAGCCTGAATGGCTTTACTTTGTTGCTGGCCTTTGGATGGAAGTAGAGATGAGCTAAGGGGAGTTGGGCGTGGGTGAACAGCTCTGAGTCCACCCCTGGCTTATCTTCCAGAAAGCCCCCTTTCCCTGGGCCCTGGTTGGTGATGACCTTCTCTTTCCTGGTGGGTGGGAGGTGGTGTGGATGGTAATGAGCAGAGAGAGAAAGGCCAAGAAGGGGTTGGGGGGTGGGCTGGATGAAAGTCAAGGAATTCCTGAGCTTGCTACTTACACAGGGGGCCCCCAGATGCCTTTCCTGAGATTTCTTTGCAGACGAAGGCAGGTCTCGTTTGAATTGAAGCCAGGTTCAGAGCAGCCCTGGTGTCCACCTCCTGCCCTGCTAACCACTGCACCCTGCAGGTATCTGGGCACACAGAGGAGCCTGAGAGGAACCCGGGGACTTTAAAGGGGGATGCTGTGGGAGCTAGGCTTATTCCACAGCCTCGCTGGCCTCTGTTTGGTATTTATGAGCTTCCAGGCAAGACGTGGAACGTGTCTCAAAGAGGCTCGGCCAGTCAGGCTTTGGGGGGCCATGGGAGGAAGGAACACCCAGCCCCAGATCAGGGGGCTGGGTGGCACAGCATCCCTATCCTCCCAGTTAGAAAGCGGCTAACCAGAGCAAACATGTCCCCAGAAGACCAAGAAGGGAGGGAATTAAGGGAGAAGGGACAGAGGAAAGGAGGACAAGGGAAATGGGACCTTGGGGGTAGGCTGGGTGGCCTGGAGTCTCTTAGCACTTGAGACTGGAGCCAGGCAGTGGGCGGGCTGAGGGCCATCCTGGGCAGGTGGCCCAGGTTCTGGGAGAGAACAGTGGATGTGCTACTGGGATCCTGGACGGTCACTGAGCAGCCTCTCCTCAGAGGAAGTCCCATTTTGCTTTCAATCCCTTTCCCAAAGTGCCTGTATCACTCCCTGTAAGCTGGGCACCAAGCTCTCTCTCTTGCTCTCTGCCTGCCCTGGGTCCCAGAGGGATCCGGATGTTCGATTTGCTCTCAGTGAGCTAAAATCTGCAGTGACTGTCACCTCCCCACATTGCCTCCCTCAGTTCTCACGCTGTCCTGCATCTCTTTTCTAGGGTGCTGCACTCTTGGGCCTGCATGTCTTTGTCCAGTCCTCTCCCCCGACTCCCGCCCCCTGCTAGGTCTGTTTCCCTGTCTTCTTTCGCCTGTCTTTTCTTCCTTTTTGTCTTCTTTCCTCCTCCTTGATTTCTTGAGACTGGGTTTCTCTGTGTGACAGTCCTGGCTGTCCTGGAACTCGCTCTGTAGACCAGGCTGGCCTTGAACTCACAGAGATCTGCCCGCCTCTGCCTCCAGAGTGCTGGGACTAAGGGTGTGCGTCAACATGCCTGGTGTGTCTGTCTTTTCTTTCTGTTCACATACTTTGTTTCTCTTTCTAGACCCTGTTACTTGACTGTCTCTGAGTTGCCCTCTGTCTGTTGTCTCCCCCCCTACCCTGTGGTGTGTGTGTGTGTGTGTGTGTGTGTGTGTGTGTGTGTGTGCATGCACTTGAGCACACATACAACTGTGGGCCTTGTCTTTCTCTTTTTTCTCTCTCTCTTCCTCATCTGTTTTTCCATGTCTTTTAAAA